ATGGCTTGAACCAGAGAAAGACAGTTGCAGTGGGTGGAAAGCAATTCGATTCTGCATGTATCTTGAAAGAAGAGCCAATAGAATTCACTAATGGGCTGGATATATAATGTGAGAGAAGTAGAGAAGTCAAGGATGATTCCAAGATTTTGTTCTGAACAAAAACTTCTGAATCTCCATAAGAGTGACCTTAACTGGGCTGGGAAAAGAGGTAGGAGGGAACTAGTTCATGGGGGAGTATCTGGAGCTTTTCAGTTTTAGACATGTGGCGTTTGAGATAGCTAATACACAACCACTTCGAGATGTTGAGTAGGAGATGAAAGTACAAGTTTGGAGTTCTGGGAGTTGTCTGGACTGGAGATGTAAATTTGGGAGTAGTCAGGATAGAGATGCCATTTAAAGTCATCAGCTTGGTGAGATCCCCATAGAATGATAAGAGATCACAAAGAGATGTCCAAGGACTGAGCCCTGGGGCTTCTTATGTTTACAGATTTGGGACTGAGAAGACTAGAAGGTAGGATAAGAACCAAGACAGACTCTCAGCCCAGAAGCCCCATGAAGAAGCGTTTGAAGGGGATGAGTGACCAACCTCTTCCCGCTGAGGTAAAGTGAGGATGGGAACTGATAACGGTCTAGCGCAAGGCAGTCACTGAGGACCCTAAGAAGGCCTGCTTCCCTGGAGTGGTGGGGGTGAAACACTGCTCAGAATGGATTCAAAAGAATGGGAGGAGAGGATCTGAAAACAGCAAGGGTGGCAAACCTTTTGGAGTAAAGTGAAGCAGAGGGAGATACGGAATTGAGGAAATGTCTTACGTTTTCCCACAGCATGTCTCTATATTTTACCTTATAAACTCTAAGAGAAGATACAATAGAGAAGAAAACCTTACTGATGCCAAGAGAGAGGGGATATTGTTGAATCCATGTCCCTGAGTTACAGGGGATGGGACTAGTACACAAGTGGAGAGGTTAATCTTAGCTAAGAGGGTGGACAATTTACCATAAGTGACAGCAGGACAGAAGGGTATATGCAGGCAGACATTGGTACGTAATAAGAGTGATAGGGAGAGAGTATATGCTTAAATTCTCTTTTGATTTGTTGTATTTTACCAATTTAAAAAACTTGGCCATTAGCTGTGAATAATAAGTTGGACCTTTGGAGATGGTCTGAAATAATTTTTTATATGAGTGGGGGAGTAGATAAGGAAGTGTAGTAGTGTTTGTAAAGAATGTTAAGTGAATATAAAGTAGTTGGTGTTTAAACGTGTAATAAATACTATTTTCCTGATGGGAGAATGAGGTCTTCTAAGAAATCTAGTATTCAGTAAACAGAGTTATATGGGGCTAAAACCATAAAACCCTAAAATTGAAAGAGTATTGGATATAATTTGATCTTGGATGAATTGGGGGTACGTTGGTCTTTTTGATACTTAAAAAAGTAATTTTTCTGAATATTAGTTAGTAATGGCCCCTGGATGGACAGCCAGAAACAGGAAGTTCTAATAATCTGGGTAAGCAAGATTTTAACTATAAAACATGCACATATGAATTGATGTTTGCAATATTAAAAATAGTAACTATCCTTTCTTGGAAGGCTTCTTTGTCAAAATTTATTCCATATTTGATATGTTAAGGTGTTTTGTTGAGTAGAAGTAGATAATCAGAGGGACATGAATTCAGTTGAGATCTAATAAATTAAGAAACGAATAGGGAGGGTGTAACATGGTAAATGACAAGATGTTCTCTTTATCACCATGCAAAGTTACAAGCCCTTGTGTGTGGGGGAGGGGTTAGGCAAAGGTGGGTAGAGGAGCCAAGAGAGGGAGGAGGCAGGAATGGGGTTGAGATCTAATCTGTGTTTGGCAAACTCTAAATTTCCCCCTTTCCTCTTCTGTTGTCCCCTGTCTGCTGTTTTGAAATCCAGGAAGGTTAAGGAAGATAGACATAGTGCGCTTGGTCGGGAAAACATGCAGTTGGAACCTCTGATGGATTTTGCCTTCTGTCTCCTTTAGAAACACTGGTGAAAATTCTGCCATCCGTATGGGGTAAACAGTAGCCCAGGGCCTTGAAAGAGCAGTTTTATGTCCCTGGGACGAGTTCTACTATTCTACTATAGATGAAGGTCAGGGAAGTTATCTTTGTAATTTGAAGCCCATTCTCATCTCTTGAGCCTCATAAGAAGCATTGGATAAAGTTAATAGATTTGGCTAGCACTTAGGCCAATTATTTCAAATGTATCACATGGCTATCTGGGAGTCATTAAAACAGGTGGCCTTGAAATTGTACTGTGTTGGTGGATACAGATTGGCAGCCATCCTTTAAGGGTAAAACTAAGCTAAAAGTTGAGCCAGAGCAAATGAACAACAACCCCGTTCATAATAGCATGCTGTGCTGTGAAAACAGATCAACAGGGCTGATGGTGATGTTCCATTGTGTTTCTCTGTAAAAATTTGATATTAAAAATACCTGCGTCTGAATTCAATTCCTGCCTTTCCTCCCCCCTTCCTTATCTTCTTCCTTCCTTTTTCCCTCCCTCCTTCCCTCCCTTCCTCTTACAGTTGTTTTGGTGGAGGTGTGGAAGTATTTAGTTTAGGTCTTTGGTTTGAATTAACATATTTATTAAATAACAAGGAATGTTTTGAGTTAGTGTACACATAAATCATGGACAGTGGATTCCTTTTGCAATTATTGTAGCATGGTCAATATTTTTTTTTTTTTATAGCTGAGACAAGAGATACTTCAAAGTCAACTTGTCAACATGTAGCTAAACTTTGTGGAACTGACCTATAAAATGAAACACTCATTTGTTTTCTATTCTGTTTGATGTAAAAGGAAAATATCTGTCATTTATTGGAAATTTTTATGAGTCTAAGAGCTATGGTTTTAAAGCTGTAATGACCTAACATCTGGGCTACCCCCTCATTTTACAGATGAAGAATCAAGAGTAAATAACTTCTCAAGAAGACTCAATTATTAGTGACCCAGAAACTCAAACCTAGTTTTCTGACTTTGTCCCATGCTTTTAATCACTGTATCACTTTGGTTTCTAATATAAAAACTTTGATCAACATAGATTTAAGCTTGCACATGACCTAAGAAAGTCTTAACGGCCCTGCCTTCATGTACTATCTTAGGTTTCTAGTTTTACCAGATTGAATTAAGTAACATTCTCTCATATTAATGTAAATAGGGGTGTAATTAAAAAAGAATTTGGCTATCACATACCACACAATCTATTTTTACTCATTCTTTTGAGTAAAATTTGAACTTAAGCTTAACTTCGTGTTCAGTGTCCGTTTTATTTAGGCAGTGACACCACAAAACTCTCAAAGAAAAGTTCCTGCAATTAAAAGAAGAAACAGCGTGTGAAAAGATTTCCTCTTGATCCTTAACAGCATTTTGGGATAGGTATAAAGGCAACTGAAGAAGCTTCACGGTTTAAAAACAACAACAAAAGACCCCAAGCTCCCTCCTGCTCCCATAGGGTTTTTGTGAGATGCAGATGGATGGAGAAAGGAGGGACTGTAACTATTGAAAAACAAACACGTTCTGTGTGAACAGAAGTGGGAGATAGTAATAGAGTAAAAAAATATGACTGTGGAGCAGAAGCTTATATTTTAAGCCTACCTACCTACCCTACAGGGTAAGTAAGGTGTAGGACTGTGGACATGTAGAGACTGCTGTTGCATTCTTTCTTTTTTGGTTTTCAAGAGACAGTAAGTAAAGACCTACTATGTCCCAAGCCTGTGCAGGAGCTGAGAATGCAAAGATGAATAAGGCAGATCCTCAGGGAGCCCAGTCCTGTGGTGGCGCGGTGGTGATGGGGAGGTGGGGAAGAGAGGGAACATACTGAGTGCGGGCTGAGATTAGACGGAGAAGGCTGGAAAATTTCCGAATCTGTAGAAATCTGTGGGTGCAGACATGTGCTGGCTTCTATGGCAGAAATCTGCCCCAGAATCTCTGAAAAAACGTTAGCCTTATTTGCCAAATTTGGCCACATATCGGGACACTAGTCTTCTACAGACGCCCTCTGAAATAAGTTTAAAAATACTGCTCCTGCTTCTAGTCCCCGCTTTCTCCACCACTAGGGCGTCGGGCAAGGGAGGGGGCAGGTTGAAAACTGCACCCACGGTTGCAGCCTCTGCTCTCTGCAGGAGACAGGAATCCAGGGCTTTGCCGTCGTCATAGCAACAGGAGATCGCGGACTCCCACCCTCCGCCAACTCCTTTCACTTCCCCCGTCGGCGAGGCTGAGCTGCCGCATCTCTCGCGAGATTTGAGAGCAGCGCTAAGCAGCCCCGGGTGATCTCACCCGAGACTTGGAGGGGAGGGAGTATAGGAGGGGAAGGAAAGGGGTGCGGAGGGGAGGAGAGGGGAAGGGAGGGAAGGGGAGGAGGGCGAGTGAAGCTGGCAAGTTTGTGAGCGAGTTCAGTGCTTGCGCGAGCGAGTGAGCGAAAAAGTCAGTGCGGCGCCGAGTCTCCGGGAGGAGGGTCCCCGAGGGGGGGGTCAGTTCTGGCTCCAGAGGCCGTACCCCGCCCTCCACCAGCCGCTCATCTCCTCCCCCCACCGGTGCTCCCAGGCCTTCTCTCCCGGGTCTGCAATTACCTGTCCCCTCCCCCACTCAGCACGCACCTCCCCTTTTCCCGCGCCCACCTCCGACCTACGGGACCCCGGACGCCCAGTCACCCACTTGCTTTCCCCCCGGCCGCCCCCCCCACCTCTTCTGGGAGCAGGCAGACGGGATGGGGGTCGCTGAGCCTCGGAGGCGGCGCGAGCGGGTACCCCGGCGCCCAGACAATAGTTGATGCCCGGGGACGGTCCCCTCCGCCTCCAGCTCCTGCAGGCGCGCGGCCCCCGCCGGCTGCTCTCCAGCCTGCTTTCCGGGTCCCCCCTCGGAGCCTGGCTCCGGAGTTGGGCTGATCCCGCCCCCGCCTTCCCCGGGCCCCCCTCGGCTGGGCGCCCTCCCCGGCCCGGCCTCGCCGCCTGCCGGTCTCCGCAGAGGAGGCGGCGAGTGAGCGCGCGCCGACCGTCTACACGGTTTCTTTTTCTCCCCAGGGAGAGCGCGCGGCGGACGCGCGGCTGCACCAGGAGGCCGGGCCGAGCGGTAAGTGGCTATTGCGTCCCGGGTCCGGGCAGGGGGCGGGGGTGCAGGACTTGATAGCCCCCACCCCGTTTCTGGCTGAGGCTCCCGGGTCCAGGGCCCTGAGTAGGACACACGGAGGGCGGTCAAAGTTTTATTTCCGATTTGGTGTCGCGCGGATAGCGCTGCCCGGCAGGAGTGAGTCCGGGCTGCACCGCATCGGGCGCGCGAGCCAGCACCTCGGAACCTGAATCTGCACTATTGCGGGCCAAGCGCCTTTGCGAGAGGCCAGGAGCCCGCGCCTACCCGGCTGCTCTCGTTTCCAACGGGCGGTCCTTCCCCTTTCAGTCACCTGGGTGAGCGCTTAGCAGGCTGTGCTGGAGGGGGACAGGCCGAGAGGTTTAATCGTGAAGAAGGGAGAAGAGCAAGCAACTCGGTGCCCGCGGGTGGTTAATTTCCCTTCCGGGGATCTTGGGGTAGTGAAAGTTGGGGATGCTGTAACCTGCTTTCCTTGGAGCAAGTAAACCTCCAGAGACAGGAGGGTACTGCAGAAAGAACTTTTCCTCCTTGGCCCCATCTGTTTCCAACTTCTTTTCTGACGTTAAAGGAAATTTGCGAGGCTCCTCTATTGCTCGGCATTTCTAGGTGGACAAGTAATTGTGTTGGGTAGTTTGAAATTTCATCTTGTTCACTGTTTGGAAGGTAGACAAGGGAAGTGGCTCACTCTCCAGGAAGATGTTGTTTGAGTTGCTGGTATTCATTTTTGAAGGGGAGCATTTGGGGACTATGATGGCTCCTAGAGACTGCACCTACCTTATAGATTTTATTTTTCATGGCGGGTATTTTAGGGGCAGCATTTACTGAAATTCTTACTACCTGTTAAACGATTGTATTTCTAAACGATGAGCCAGTGATGCGATGCAAATTTCAGAGCAAAGGTGTCGACTTTCATCAGGTTCCAGGTCTATGTGGATGGACTGGGGTTGGCGTTTCCTCTATAAAGCAAACCTTTCACGTTGAAACTCTGACTCAGACTCTAAAAGCCATTGTTTTTATACTTACTCTGTGGGAGTTAAGTGTCAACTTTCTCTTGTTTTCTCATATGGAATATTCGTGCAAGGCAAAGATTCTCTGGCTTAATCTTTTGGAAAAGTACAAGATTAAGTCCTATAGAACCATTCTCTGCAGCCAATTTAGGAACAGTATTAATTTTCTGTATAATCCTGATTTAATGACTTTCCCTTTTGCTTTTTGGAAAGCTGCAATTACGCCACCTTTACCAGGATGAAAAAAAAATTGGTGGGAATAATGTAGAACAGTGGTAACAAGCAGTAGTCTCAAATGAAAGGTATACATAAAGCAGTTTATGGTCGCTGATGTGTCCGACTATTAGGTGACATACCAGTTATTAGTGGGAATATTAATAGTAAAACATTTTTCCCATGGAATTTAAACTGAAGCATTAGCAGTTGACAATGCATTTACAGTGACTTGGGTGATGATTTGCACATAAATGGCTAGAGGCAAAATAAGAGATTTGGGGGAATGATTTTATGTGGTTGACAACTTATTTTCTTATCTCATTATGCTTAAGTAAAGGACTCTTGAAGTTGACTGTATCAGATTTCTCTAGTTTACTGAGAGAACAAGTTTGGCAAGTGGCTCAAGACAGTCAGTAGGTGCTGCTGTGAGCTTTTCTGCAGAGTTTGAAACTGCAGTAATAGTGCCGTGAACTTTTCAGATCGGAAGGGTCAGGCCGTGTTGGTTGTGATTGCACTGTAGGATTTTATGGCAAGGTTGACTTGAACACTTGGTAATCAATGCATAGTACCTCCCTGAACTTTTACAGTGAGATTCCTTTAACTATCCTTTCACCATTTTTTGGCTTTTATTTACCTTGCTTTTGCTTTGAATTGCAGGTGTTATTTTGGGGTGTGCCTCCCACCCCCCTCTAATTTTTAACAACTTTCAAAAAACGCTCTCTGGTAACTTCACTGAAATCATAGATCGAAGATTGCTTGAGTGTAGTGATTTTGTAGACTTTGGGGATCTTGAGATGAGATTATGTATATGCTTGCAGTTTGAAGTTGTCAAGAAATGGCTGTTGTCTGTCTTTTTGAGTGGTGAAACAGGATCATGAGTAGAGGCAGAACAGTGTAAGAGTACAGATTCCCTGAATTTTTCCAATTTAGGAGCAAGTAGGCAGTGATTAGTGATAACACGAGTGGGTGTTTCCTATCAGTCCACACTGTCATGTGATCGTTTCTGTTGGTGCACATCAGTGCACCTTTGAAACTATGAATATCCTGAGGATTTTTAGGTGACATCTCATATTTGAGCTTTTTGGTTCAGGCATCAAATTGGATTTTCTCTGACGAAGACAAATAGACTCTCGTAATGTAGAGCTAGAGCTCTGATAATAGCATGCTGCTTTCTTCCTTTTGATTCAAATCACAGAAGTTTCTATCTCAAATTCAGAAAAACAATCCTCCCATCTTCCTATAATATTACTATATTTCTAACCCTTTGAGATTTGTTGTAAGTCAACTGTATTTGTTAAGTACCTCTATCTGGGAGGCGTACAGCTGGGTTCTGTGAGTCCAGTGGTGAGTAAAACTTACAGTCCAGTGAGGCCATTTATAGCCACCATTCCTGGTTTGGTGTTATGCTACCCTGATGCCCCCATAAAGGTTTTGCCTAGCAGGTACTCATTTATCTTTGAATTTTAACATATTTGAATTAATTTTTGAAATAACAGAGTCCAGTATTTGCCCTGAGAAGGTCTGGGTTTCAAATTTTTTGGTGATAGGATCTTAAAAAATAATTGAACCTCTTTCTGAAAAACTGTCTTTTTCTGCAGAGAAGGGCACAATACTTGCTTTACAGCTTTGCTGGAAAAATTAATGAGATTAAATGTATGAAAGTACTTGGCAAACCGTGATGTCTTATTATCAATTGCTTTTCCTTACTCTCTGATGAACAGATTCATAGATTGTTAGAGCTGGAAGGGATTTGGAGCATAAATCATTTGGCCCATCTTCTCCATTTTACAGACGAGGAAACATTTCCAGAAAGTTTGAAGTGATTTGTTGAAGGTTACAGAAGAACTGGTTAGTTACCAGGCAGTGATTGGAAGGCAGATTTCCAGATTTAACTGTACTCCTAGTTTCCTGCTTTCTTAGAGTCTGTATGTCAAGGTTTACGTGCTGCTTCCTCTTTAAGTGTTCTGTTTGTGTTTATTAAATGTAAAATGAGAAGGAGCAAAACTTCAAGAAACAAACAAAATCGACATTAAGGTTGAAAAGTTAGGAAAACAGCACTGATGTAGCGTTTGGTAACTAACCCTTACAGTTACTCAAATTACAAAGTTAAGGAAACAAAAATTAGGAGTTAAAGTGTCCACATGGTAGAGCCTGTAGGCTTTTTTTTTTTTTATTAAGACTTTGTTAAACTTGCAGCATAATATACTTGTATGCTCTTTAAAGAAGCCAAATTTAGTATGTTCTGGTTTCCCATTTTTTTCCCCTTAAACGCATTTTTCCATTGTACCTTCCTTATTTCTGGGTAAGTGGCAACTTTTTAGGTGTTTCTCAGTCATATGTGTTACCAGAGGGGAGGGGCGGGCATGGGCAGGACCTCAGGTGGAGGGATAATTGCACAGAAAACAAGAAAATGTTGTAGGAACTTCCTGTTCAAAGTGTGACTGATTTATTTTGTGCTGCCCTACCTTCCATTAGGGTAATCTGAGCCAGGAAAGAAGAAACATTCCTGCCAGTTGGGTGATTGCTTTCAGACAAGGGGTTTCTCCCTCTTCCTGGGAGGGATGAGCATTATGTTACTCTTTCAGTGCTCATACAGAAAACTTCTTGTTCCACTTAGTTACTATTTAAAAAAGGGTGCTCCTTTATGACTTGAGATTGACAAGCCAGTCTTCTGTCCAATGAACTTCTACTTTTTGGCAATGGGAAATAAATTGGCCTCATTGGATTTTTCCTTTAGTTTTTCTCTATGCCTAGTTACTTAAAAAAAAAAAGACAAAGCCCACACACTTAAGGCATTTTGTCAGCCAAGGTTATATATGTTAATTATCTTTAGATGATAGTTCATTTATTCTTTTGGTGGGTTTTTGATGAGCTTTGGAGTCATAGAGGCATGAGAAAGATGCCCTTTGCTTTGAATCTGTTCAACACAGATTATTTGAATGGTTTAATATTTGGGGTTGAGATCATGAGGATAAGAAAATCCATCAGGCTATATCTTTTGAGGGTAGGGACTAGTCCACATCCTTTACTCCTTTTACTCTGGCCTGGGGAGAGTTTAGGAAACCCCAGTTGGAAAGAGAACATGAGTGTTTTCTTTAAGATCCAGAGAGAGGACACCACAATGACATGGAGGAATGTCAGGGGCTAATTTAGTTGGCCCTTAGTAAAAGCAGTGCCTTGGTGGGCATGCTGCGGAGCCAGGTAAAGCTGTTTCTCTGCGTCTGGAGTCTGGGATGAGGATTTTCAATCTTTAGGTACCTAATTTGTTTCTTGTCATGTTGCACTACATTCTCCCTCTAATTAGGACTGTAGTATGCTTAACTTTACATTGTGGGGAACAAGCAATTACATAATGTTAAATTTCCTTTTTTTCAATTCAGGAGAGGCAAAAGGCATACTGTATGCAGAGTGTGTGGGCTTGGAGAAGGGAGAGTTGCTGTTTGCATAAACAGTGGGGTCACTCAGAGGAAACTGCACCAGGCAGCATATCTAGCCTCAGCTGCCACTGGATTCCTATCTTCTCTCTCCTTCCCCAGAGCAGATCCAGGTTAAAATGAACTTCACAAACAGCAATAGTTAATTTTGGTCATTCCTCTTTAAGTTACAGGTATAATCATTAATTAGTTTTTGCAGTTCAGAGTCTTGCTTCATTTTAGAATGAGTTCTATACTTCTCAGAAGAAAGTTACTGAGAAATGAAAGCAAAGGACTTTATGCTGAATGGTCATCTTCCTGTAATCAAGACTTGACTACAATCAGTAAC